AAAAAAAAAAAAAAAAAAAAGATGTGATAACTTCATCATTGTTAGGAGATGCTAATTCATGCTGTGATTAATATGTGATTTGTGTATATAGTTTTATGCTCAAATTTGATTAGTGTTGATTTAAAAGAGGTTTAGGCTTGGTGCCCATAGCTCAATGGTTAGGGTGCCAGCCACATACACTGAGGCAAGAGAATTGCTTAAGCCCAAGAGTTAGACATTGCTGTGAGCTGTGACACACGGTTCTCTACTGAGGGCGACATAGTGAGACTCTGTCTCAAAAAAAAAAGAAAAAGAAAAGTTTACAAGTTGGAGTGTGTGTGTGAAGAAAATAATTGTTATTTAGTAATATAACATCATAATTACGATTAATACTCTCTATTGCATGCCCTCATACCAATAAATGCCAAGTAGCTTGTTAAGAACTGCTTTGAAATGCTTTCATTAGTGCTTCTTATCTTGCCAAACTTGTTTTGCCTAATGATTGATGAAAGGCGTTGCATTTTATTCAAGGATCTCAAAGCACCTGGCAATGCTTCTTTCCATTTTCCAGATTGGTTACACTATAGTTCCCAGTGGTTCAATGCATTTCCTTTGGCTGCACTGCTATCCAGGAAGAGGGCTGGCCACACAGTAGAATATTTTATATTCTAAAATATCACAGACTTTTCCTAAGTCATTGGCCTGCTGTTTTATCTTAAGTCTATTGTGAGTGTGCACCCTGAGTCACATTTTCCCTTGGCCTTGCCTAATGAGAAGATTGGAGGCAAATTTGTGTCCATCTTGAGCAATCGTATTAGACTTTAGGTAGGAGTTTCTTACTGCCTTTTCCCCTGATTCCATTTGATTTATGTATTGTTTTATTCTTTCCTACCTATTTTCAATCGAGTCATCTTGTCCCAATGTGTATCCTTTTAAGCATCTTAAGTCTTTTTTTTTAGAACTAGACAAGCTATAGGTAGGTAACTCATTGTACACTATTCACACATTTTGTTAGGCTGAAGCAGGTTTTATAGTTGAAACATCAGGCCTTTGGGGGGAGCCGTACTCGGGCTGGAATTCTGGCTTTAATGCTTCATTACTGTGGACCTCGAACAAGTTATTTAACTTTTCTGAGTTCCCTCTCTGTAAAATGGAAATAATAATCCATAACTCAAAGAAATGTCTTGGGGATTAAATAAAATAACTCATGTAAATTACTTGGTGCATAGTAGGCATTCAATAAATGTCAGTTTGTTTCTTCTCCCAGTTAATAATGCTTATTAGACTATATTAAAAACTAGAACCAGACTGTGATAATGCATTTCTTTATTAGGTATTTAAGCCAAATAACTAATTTCCCTCAGAGGAAAGAGAAAGAAATGTTGAATTAGTTTCATTTGGCAAACTTATTTATTAATCTTTTTTCTTCAGTATTATTCAGTTTCACAGTCCATAATTTAGTTTTCATGCAACAAAAATGACAGTTTAGTATTCTTTTTAACTCTACTGTGCTAGAATTGGTTCCTTAAAAAATTATCTATTATTACATCTGCCATTTATTAGAGATCATTGTTAACTATATTAACAGCTCGATTGTGTACCATAACTACTTCGTGCTGACAAACTTTTGCTCTCAGCAGTTTCCCTGAGGTCTAAGCATTTAAGAGAATCAAGTTTTAAATAGCAATGCTACAGACAGCGAGAGAAAACCAATTGTGGGAGGGAGGACCCACGCAGTCTGTGTTCTTTCGTGTTAATTTTTTATGTGTTCCCAAGTAAGTGTAGCCACGTTTTCCAAGAACCCAACCTAAGTGACACAGGCATGTAAAGTGGAAACTGACGAATTGAGCTGGAACTACAGTACCCTTGCACCTTTAAGGACTGGAGACTTGACATTAGCTCAGCCTCCTTCCCGGCCCACCTCTGAACTCTGATTGACAGGGCGCCGGGCGAGGAGGAGCTGAAGGAGGCTGGGGAGGAGGCGCAGTGAGGAAAGTAGGGGGAGGAGGGGCCCGTCTTTTCTCTGATGGCCAATCAGGGAAGGGGGGCGTGGCTGCTCGCGCCCTCCTCCCTCCTTCTCTCGCCCGCCTCCCGGCTTCCCCGCCCCCTCCCTCTTCCCTTTGCCCCCTCCCCTCTCCTCCTTCTCGTCCTCCTCCTCCTTCTCCTCCTCCTCCTCTCAGGCTGTGGTTTTTCTGTATATGTTTCTGGAGTCCTGAGCCTGAGCTAAACAAAAGCAGGAGGCTGACGGGGCTGCTGGAGTTTGCAGAGACACGGAGGAGGAGAGAGCCCGTGCTTTGCCTGTCGCCGCGGCTGGGGGAGATCTGGCTTTTGCAACTGCCCACCCCCTTTGAGATCACTCTGGCCCGGAGTGGGGGTGGGGGGCAGCGGGGGGTGGGGGGGAAAGTTTGCCTTGCAATCCCCCTGCCTTCCTCTCCTTTCTCCCGATCAATGCATATTTGCAAAAGGATTAAGCCACAGATTTAAGCGCCGGGAGCCCATTTCTGCCTTGCAAAGGAGATCGGACTGAAAAACCAAAAGCCAGCTCTGATTTCTTTTCGCCAAGTGGGAAGGTGGTTTATTTTTCTTGCTTTTTGGAGTCAACACCCTTCCCCACCAGACCTTATCCCCACCCTCACCCCGCAACCCCTTCACGCCCCCTCCCCCTCCCCTCTCCCCATCCTCCCACCATCCTCTAAAGAGGCAAAGGGATTTTTTTTTTCTTTTGGTCTTCTTTTTTTCCCCCTTCCCTGTTTATCCTGAAAAGGATTTGAAGACAAGCTTGAAGGATAAAAAGCCTTGGTGCTTCCCAGGAGCCGAGCCGAGGAGCAGAAGAGGAAGAGCCGGGGGCTGCCGTAGCCTTTGGAGATGGACGAGCAGCCCAGGCTGATGCATTCCCATGCTGGGGTCGGGATGGCTGGACACCCCGGCCTGTCCCAGCACTTACAGGATGGGGCCGGAGGGACCGAGGGGGAGGGCGGGAGGAAGCAGGACATTGGAGACATTTTACAGCAAATTATGACCATCACAGACCAGAGTTTGGATGAGGCGCAGGCCAGGTGAGATGGAGGCTTTTCTTTTCCTTTCTTGGGGTTTTTTGTTTTTCTCCCTCTCGCTGGGGGAAACAATGGGAACCGAATCACCACACCGCTTTCTTTTTAAATGTTATTTCTTTTCCCATTTTGACAAGCAACTACATGGCGGAGGAGTTAGATTTGCAGGAGTGTTGTTATCGAAAGTGTAATCGCCCATGCCGTGATGTGGCTGTGTGCATATTGTGTATGTGTGTGAATATAGAGGTATTCATATATATCCACACAAACACAGGCACGCCGAAAATACTGCCAACTGATCCAAAAGCGGTCCTTGGCACTTTTTACTGCTTTAAAAAAGTAGAAGAGAGAACAGAATTGTCAAGTTTTGAACAGCATTCCATGCCTTCTTGTTGAGGGACTCCGTAACGTTCCAAAATAAAATGTCCCGAGAACACTTCATTTGCAAATTTAGTTGACTTAGCCCCTAAGTTGGATTTTCTTTTTAGACTTACCCGTCCAAAATTAATATTTATCTTCTCCCCTTCCCTTCCTCTCCCAAACGAAACACAACAACAAGAAAGCAGGCTATTTCTTTGTCAGTAGTTACAAGCTGTCCAGAAAATATTTTGCATTCGCTTAATTCTGCTGTTTTAAAAAAGTTAATGGAAAGAAAGATAAGATAATTTTTCTTATAGGCATATTTGTTAGTTTCAAGGGACTCAGATGTTTAGTTTAACTTTATTGTCTCCTAATTTGAATCGGTTTTCAAACCCTTCGTGACAGTCAGCTAGGTATGGTCCTTTAAAAAGGGATGAAGGGACAAAAATCAAGCAAGCTCTTTCCCCCCATACTTCTTTCAAGAGCACTTAGAAATGAAAGTATGTGAGAATTTTGTGTATCTCAATACTATGGGACATGAAACTCTTCCTTAAGGAAACATAATAAACTGTATAGCTCCTCAACTTAATCCATTGCCATGCATATAGTTCTGTGCTCTGGGGTTGTACAGCAAATTCTCTTTCAAAATAAAACACAGACCAAGTGACAACCCACTAACAGCTTGCCTAAGGCTGAACTCCAAGGGAAGATTTTAAAAAACTCTAATGACTACATATGTCTATACAATTACCCAGCTTTGTTAAGTCTTGGAAGTAGCTTTTAATTTGTTTTTATCTTTTTTTTTCCCCTTTGGAAATCTTTTAAACTTACACATCCATTCCTGTACCTCAAATGACTTAGTTGTATGGAGAAGATATTGTGATACATAGTTTTGTGTAAGGGACATAAGAATTGGAGTTGGAAAAATGAGAGGAAGCCGCTAAAAGCATGGATGTTATGAATTACACTCAATTTTAGCTGCGAGCACATGCAACATGTAAACTCACAAGTACTAAGGTTTATGGGTGTTTGAAAACTTGGAAATGTTCAAAGACTCGAACTCTTCCATTTTTTTTTTTAAATAGGAGAAAAATTTTAAAAATTAACTGGTGCTCCTCTCACATTTTATTATCTGAAGAAAAGCTAATAGGTATGATAAGGGTAAGATTTTCCACTGGCAGTTTTTTTTTTTTTTTTTTGTATTGGAACCGATTTCTCCATTACATTGTTCAAGAAAAATACACTCAGACATAGCAATAAACTGGTTTAATAATAAGTTTGTGAAGTGGAAGGGCCCAGTAAGAATAGATACTCACTGCTTGATTCATATTTAGTCCCCTCTTTTTGTGAAACTGAGGGCAACCTTGGCTTGGCAAGTGACCCCTTTTAATGGCCTAGATGCTAAGAGAAATCAGATAGAATTTTAGGATGGAGAAATTTTCAATTCTTCTGTAGCTTCATTTGTGCACCATGGAAATGCAATATTTTTATAAAGCTGCGTGAGAATTTTTGTTTGTTTTTGGGGCTATGTATAAGAATACAGTTAATGAAAATAATTTTCAAAGACCAAGGAAAGGTCTTTAATACATTGAAGTATGTTAAGTATTTTCTATCTTTTTTTCTCTCCCACCCCACATGAAAACTGGCTAAATCATTGCTAAGCTTTCTTTTGCTTAAACAATGTACTCTACTTAGCAGATATTGTGTCCTTTATCCTTGTTCCTGGGCACACCAGTCATAATGTATACTTACTATTTATAAAGTAAAGCATTAGTATTTTAAATATAGTGCCTGTGTTCATTTTAATGGTCCTGAATTTTGGGTTTCTTACTCTCCTGCTGTACAGTATATAGGACACGATTCTCATCTCTGTTCTTCATGAGGATGTGTGTCTGTTTTTTAACTTTCAAAGGGATTAAAAAGAATTGCTTGTGTTTTAAGCGCCAGAACTTTCCATTTATCTTTACACATTAATTTTAGTTAAACAGAATTCCCTTAACTAATAGCTGATAGGATCTGCATTTTGTTTCTAAAACAAGTATCATCCTGTGAAGTGATTCCATAATAAAATAGAAGGAAAGGTATTGTTTTGTTTCTCAAGTGCATTCTGAATACAAACACATACGCGCGCGCTAGCAAGCACACACACACACAAACACACGCACACACAAGAACCAGGTAAATCACTAATCTAAGAGGCAAAATTGTATTTATTTTTTCCCCAATGGGTGCAAGGTCCTAATTGTAAATAATTGAATTTCAACACCTGCAAATAAGCAGTGTGTGCACAAGAGGCATAATGTGAACACAGAGAAATGAATTTATTCCCCATATGGGTATGTTTGCCCCCTGGCAATGCATTTCCATACTCTTTAACTTGGGGACTGAAATTTTATAAATTGACAGTTCTACTCAGAAGACCTTTCAAGCATCTTGTGTTTATGAGAATACAGGGGCATCTGCAGAATGAATTCGAACACATGGATGAATTAAATTTGAAAACACACAGACCGAGAGGCAGACAGTTCCTAGGCTGTGGTTGTTACATAGATTACACAAAACTGTTAACCTGTGCCTTTGCACTTATGCTATATTCATTGTCCTGGGTAGAATTATTGGTTTAAGAATTCCACTTTGATTAAACTTCTTTAAAAACAAAAACAAAACAAGAAAAGCCTCTCCCTCAATGGGCATAATTTAGGCTAGTTCTGTTCTGTAGTTAAGTCCCTACTGTCTCCCTGCTAATTAGCATTATTTCTTTTTCTGTGGTGGGACTCTGTGTATTAAGTCATAAAAACAATTGAAGCATGCCACAGAGTTATGCTTGGTATATAATTTTGGCTAAATGTTCAGCTTTTTCCCCTCTGTGCAGTATCAGCAGTTTGATCTGGAGCGTCCATCTAAGCTATCACGTTGTTGTTTCTTTCTTGCAGAAAACATGCTTTAAACTGCCACAGAATGAAGCCTGCCTTGTTTAATGTGTTGTGTGAAATCAAAGAAAAAACAGGTAGGAAAGCGATTCTAACATTTTAGCATTTTCTTGGGCCAGTGGAATCACTTTAGCAGCAATCATGAAGCTGTTACTGAAATATTAAAATTTCAGAATGAAAATACTATCAAGATTGACCGCACAATTCCAGCAGGAAGTCCTAGTGCTGCTTTCTTTAAAAGAAAGCGTCAAGTTTCTTTGACAGTTATTATCAAGCATTGCTGGTGCATTTTCCTTAACTCTGTTGCCAGCTGTTTTGAAATTCAGGCTCAAATGTATGTTCTGAAGGAAAATGTATGGAATGGTGTATCTTTAGGAGAAAAAATATGAAAGTAAAAGTTCATTTCCTGAAGGAATATATTTTGGCCCATATATAAAGGCCTAATTTTTTTGGAATTAGGCAGGGATGGGGATCCTAAACTGTTCAAAGTTTCCTTTCCTTTTTTTTTTTTTTCTTGTAATTAAAAAAAGCAGCAAACGGAAGGTTCTCAACTGAGTGTTGTCAAATGCCTTGTGGAAAGCGCTATACAGCATGAGGTTATCGGCATTTGAGTGGCCTGTGTGATTTTATAGCAGGGAGAATTGTTGGGTTTAGGAGAGTACAATGCCATGAGATCACTCACTCTGTTGTTTTTCTACTTTCTAGACCTCATATCATGGACTAACACACTTATAACACATCCCAGGAGGGCATTTAAATTTTAAAGCAACAATTAAAAAATAGCAGTCATCAATCAGAGGTGTTCTTAAACAACAGATGCTCTGGGAAGGACATTTAGCAAGATCCTCTTGTTTGTTTATTTTAATCCTTAATTTTCCAAAGTGGGTAAATCTCTCCCTTGTAAGAAGAAAGATTTGAGAAGGCAATCTGAAACCAAGGCATAAAGACGAGGGACAGGGGGTGGTTATATAAAGCGGGAGCTTCTGCTGGGCTCTGACTTCCTCGCTCGCTTTAAAGCAGTGCAAAGTACCTGACATCCTCTTTATTTATTTATTTTTTACAACAAGGAGTGTAACAGTCAATAATTCATATCTAAACCATATAAGCAAGGGCATGACATGAATGAAAGTGACAATAAATATGATTGCATGCCCAGTTGATATACATTGATAGTTACACATAAAAAAGTGGGGGGTTGGGGGAAGAGGGCACGCAGGGTGGCTTTCTTTTTTTGAGAGCTCTCTGTGTTTGTCTTTTCAAAAATAAGTAGTTTCAAGATGTGACTGTTGATTGAAAATGTAATTGCGTGGGTCTTGAAATGCATATAAAATTAGAAAGCAGCTCCTTGGTGGAATATTATTTGTGTTGAGCCTAACATCCTAGACAAAGCACCTGAGAAGTGATGTTCAGACCTTGAAGTCTTCCAGGTCGCCTTGCCAAAGCTCAACCTGATTGCAGAGCTGTTAATTGCATTATTTTAGCTGTGAGACACCCTTGAAGAGATTTATGGATTGCGTGTATAAATATCAAAAGAGCTTTTTTCCCAGTTTGTCACACTTTTCAGGGTTTTTATTTTCCATTCACCAGAGAAGGAAGCTGAGGTGTGCATATAGGTATTTTTTCCCCCGTCTCTCTTTTTTTTTCTTTGATCTCTGATGCTTATTTACTTTGAATATTTGGCTCATTGAAATGTGTTTCTAATGGACTAGGAGTTCTTGCTGATGTTGGTTCATGAAATGTAGGATCAAAATATAAAAGCCTGTGTGATAACCCCAACTAAAAAGAGGCTATTTTGAAAGACACTATGAGATTTTTATTGAAAGCAAGGCTGAGCATGCACTTAAATGTACAGCATGGCCAATGTGTTTAATTCTACTCTCCTAATTAAAACCTACTGAGGCAGTAGATCAAAGTGGGTGAGGGTGAATAGGGATCCGGTTCAGATGTGGGTTAAAGAGTTGGTTCCTTGTTCATATTGGCGAAAGTGCGGTGATAGGAAGCAGTTGCATTGGTCAAAACAACACTCTAAAGGTGCGATTTATGGTTGGATTTCATAGTTTGTTTTTTAAATTTTATGTCAACGCATTTTAATGTTTGGAGGGTTTTAAATTTTTTAAATATCTAAATTAAGTTTTTTATTGTCTTAAATAAAATATTTTAAAAAATAGTTCATCAGATAACATAAATAGAAAGTGAATAATCATTGCCCTGTGCGTTGGCAGGAAACACACACACACACATACACACACACAGAGTTTAGATAGAGAGGGTATCCTTGGGGGAAAGGAGAAAAAAAAAGTCCTGTTTTTCTCTTATTCTTCAGCTTGTGAGTTGGGAGGATGGAGGGGAAGGAAGAAACCTCTCCTGGAATGTTAAATGTTGTGTTAAAGGTAGGAGTCAGCTGTGGTGTGTTGAAAAGAACCTTCTGATGCTAAAGCACGATCACTTTGTTGCTCAGGATCTGCGGGACCCTCATCCCCTGAGCCGGCTTATCTCCCATGCAGTTGATGTGTGGGAGAAACAAGGTGCCTGTGAAGTTGCAGGAGTTTGTTTTTGTACTTTTCCCTCTTGATACAGAGCTAATGAAAAGATCACTTGAATGATCAGTTCACATACATATTCTTCACTGCCTGTGGACTTCTCCATTGTTACTTCCCAGCCTGCTTGCATTCAGTGAGTGTGTGTGACCTTCCATTTGAAGCACTATAGAGGTGCCCTGATTTAGGCTGGGCTTTGTTTGTATTCTAACATGAAGTTCACACACTTGGCTCACCTAGGCAGAGCTCTTGAGAGACGCCTGGTCATTGCCTTCATTTGTTGCCTTTTTGGGGGTTTTGCTAAGATTTGTAGTGGGAAGACTTATAAGTAAGTAAATAGAAAAACTAGCTAAGATGTTTTACCAGTCCTTTGGAACTTTCAACACACACACTCACAAAGTAGGCAGCACTGTCTAAATTACAGTTGATTGATGGGTATTTAAGTCAGAAATTACTGTGGGGATATTAAAAAAAAATAATAATCCATGTCTTCTTGCTTGAGAGTGTAGGTTAAGTTTTTATTTTGATACCTTTTTGCTTTTTAGAAATAAAAGCTAAGGAAAAAGAATGCCCGCAAAATGGTGGGGTGACAAATCTCAAACAGCATCAGGAAAAACCCTGTGAAGTCCTACAGTCATGCATATTTCAGATATGGCTTTTATCTGCTTCCTCATTCTGGGACTATAGAGATTTAATTAATGTTTTGGACCGTTTGATATCACATTTTCTTTTGGATTTTATGAACCTTGTTTGTCTTCTGACATATTAGCACGAGCTTTACATACATGCATATGTGGTAGTACTGGCATTGGTAGGATGGGAGCAAGGAGAAGAAAATTCAGGCGCAAAGCATTTCTTTAAAATCCTTGAATGTATTTTTAAACATTTCTCTCTTTTTTTAACTTTTGTGTCAAAATCATGCAGGTTTAAAAATTAGGAAAGCACACAAAAAAACATTGGATGCCGTTTACTAAGGGGAATATTTATAGATAGCAATGAATAGCTGCAATTGTTAGGAATAGTTTTCAATTTTAGAACATAATAGCTATATATGGCACTTTCAGCCAGTTTTCCTCTATGCATTGTCTGCACTGAAGTTAACTCAAATCAGATCATTGGAGGAGGTAAAAAAAATTTATTTTTCGCTTCCTTAATACCCTTTTGTTCTCTCTCTTTCCTTTGCTGTGTTCAATTAACACCCCCATCACAGAGCTGTAGTGTGTGTGTGTGTGTGTGTGTTTTAAGTCTACTACTGTATTTCACTTTTGACACCCTCCCTTATTATTCTCGCCTGCCACTTCTTTTTAATACAGCAATTATATTACAGGACTTCTGCTTCTCTCCCCTCTCCTTTAAAGCATCAGAGGATAATCTGTGTGTCTGTGTATGTGTGTGTCTTTGCCTATATGGAGGGGGCACTAGGGAAGGAAGCTGTATGACTGCAGGGAAGTAATTCTGATGTTAAGCCTTGAACAGAACAGGGGTGAAATAACTTCAGACAATTTAGAGCGGCCTCTGATCACATGCCTTTCAGGGGCTGAAATGGCAGGAATGATTTTCGTAGAAGCCCATCCACAGCAGGCAAATGCAAAAACTTTTTCTTGCTGATGAGAAAATTTAAGGATTGGTCCTTCCTGCTTTGTTTTGTTTTGTTTTTCCAGTAAAAGAGGCTGAGGAGGGAAAAGGGGGTCAGATGAAGGGACGTTACGCGTCTCTTTCACCTGATCCTACCTTTCTGGTACACCAGTGTGTTAAGGCAGAAGTAAGGTGCCAAGATTCTACATTATTTATTCTGATCTGGGTATAAGTTATAGATTTACGATAATACGACTCTAGGGACAAAATAGAAGATGAACTGTGACAAGAAATGTCCCTCCTCTCCTGTCACTTGTGTGTACTCCATTTTTAGTTTACTAATAGAATGAGAAAAATACTGACTTTTGAGACGTGGCAAAGAGCAGGGTAATTATAGCTGTTAGAATGTGATTTTTGGAAATTTGGTTTTGTTTATTCCAACAATGGGGGTATCAGTGAAGACTGGAAACGAGAGAGATTTAGGATGCACTAAGAAGTCTGGTAGTAGACTTGTGGGGTAGGGGAAATGCAAAGAGAAAATTGCGATCTAGGAACTACGGGGTGTGAGTTCCAGGAGGGGAGCAGCAGGCCCTGCTCTGGGCCTAGAGGGGGCATTGCCTTCTTGTGTACTTAGCTCACTGCTGGTTCCAGGCCTTTTCACAGGCTTTCGCTCCTGTGTTCTGTTGACATCATGAACTTTTTATTACTGTTGTTGGCAAAGTTAAAAAAATACCCCCAAACAAGCACACAAACCCAAACCTAGATATTGAACATACTTGAATAGGAAGACATTGTCATTTTTAATTTAAAATATAACCCTGGCTTCTTTTGAGACATAGTTTATATGCATGCCTTAGGAAAGTTTATCCTCATTTTGGTTTCAAACCTCTTCTAAATGGATGCTGTTATATTTGAACCTGGGGAAGTGAATCTAAATATACTTTTATTGCTTCTCAAAAAAAAAA